ACAGGAGCTACGACAGGAGCTACGACAGGACCCACGGTGAACCCACGTCAGCAGGACGCAGACCTTTAACCCTTGAAAACTAAACACCAAGGTCTGTTTTCTCACCGTCATAAATGCGCGCTCCAGGGCCACGCGTACGTTTGTCTCGATGCTCGTTCTCTTCTTTCTGCGGCGAGCTGGAATGCCGTCGAAGCCCAGAGAGGAAGAGGACAAGGAGCTGGGACTCGGCAGGGTGCTGTCTATGGACATGGTCTCTGTAGGACGGAACCGTAGGACGGAGTTAGGATCAGGAAGACTTGACTGAGAGCATCCATCCATTCATCCATCCAACCATCCATCCAAACCCTGTAGCACCTATGGTTGTCTCTCTTGCCTTACAGCCATAAGGTCAGGGGTTCAAGCCCAGACAGAACCCACACTCACTTGTGAAAAGATTTTGATTTGAACCAAGAAGACCTGCAGTTCACATCCATCTGTGGATGTGAATCAATCTGATTATTTTGGTTCCACCAAGTTCTAGACTATTATATATTTTTAGATTTATGTGTTTGTTTTCCCTTTTCACTTTTGGGGTGTGTGTGTGTGTGGGGGGGTTACATTCATTACAGTAACACTGAGCCGTAATAACACATATTCAGAATCAAGAGGTTTTGTTTCTTTGGTGAGAATATGTTTTTGTGGAAACACACGGAGCAGCTGAAGAGTGAGGTTAAAATGATCTGTATTTTGTCTCCAACTTGTGCATTTATAGTATAAAAATATTCTGGAGAAACAGGAGAGTGAATCTGTGCGTCTGTCAAACAGATCTCCCTTCTGTCTCACCCACTCCTGTGACGTCAACACTTTCCTTCTGTTGTTGTTCTGTATAGAAATACTTTTTTGTTAAAGCAAACTTTAAAGTATCAAAACAAAGGTTTGTCTCCAGACGACCACGGCTCTAATCCTTAGCTACACAAACCACACACGTCATCTTTTGTTCGAGGGGGGAGGTGGGGAGGGAGGAGGGGGGACACCGGTCCTCCATGACAGAACATTCTGAATACTGTGTCAATAATAATTGTTACAAATGAATCTGAGCTGCTGTCTGGACCAGCCTTTATATCTGGGACAGATTACTGACCCTGGCCTCACAAAAATACACTTTATGAATAAGACCATAATGACTCTGTGCAGAGTTCCTCTTTGTCAGTAATATTCTACAGCACGGTGTGGATTTGTTTTACTTAAAAATCTTAAAAAAATATATCAGTTTCTGACAGTGTTTGAGGTCAAACCAAACTCCAAATGACTCATAAAGCACTGACCTGCGTCGTTCAGCCACTTCTCCAGCAGGGGCTTCAGTTTGCACATGTTCTTAAAGCTGAGGTTCAGGGCCTCGAAGCGTGAGATGGTCGTCTGGCTGAAGTCGTTGCCGTACAGTTTTCCCATGGCCAGACCGACATCCCCCTGTCAGAGAGAGAACACGTTTAGGCGACGCCTGGACACACACACACACACACACACACACACACACACACACCTGTGTGAAGCCCAGTTTGATACGTCTCTGTTTGAAAGTGCGAGCGAACTGTTCCAGCTCCTCCAGGTCACTGGGTTCCTCAGAGTGAGAGGTCACTGAAGGCATCGCGGTGACCCCTGCGCCGCTGCTCACCTCCACGCTCTTATCTCGCTGCTGTGACGTCAGATGGAGGAGAGAGCGAGAAGTTCTAGGTCATGGCCGGTGCTAAGGCTAACGCTGTGGTTCCACAGACTGAAGATGGAAATGTTCCTCCTACCTGTGCTTGGAGTCCCATCCTGGTCTGAGCCGACAGCAGACTCCCTTGGTTTTGCTGAGGTAGCGTTATGAGATTTGGTGTCGGGAGGAGTCCTGACAGAAAGGTAGATAATAAACAACGGGTCGATCCAACAAACTGCTGATACAATTCATGAAAATATTGTTATTGAATGAATAGATGAATTTAATACAATTAAAAAAGCCTTGAGACACAGGTACGGTCCAGCAGGAAAGGTCACACAAGGTCAAACAGACTGTACAGTAACGAGGGATGTGTTGGTCACATGACAGCGACAGTTAACCTGGTGAGGTGTTAGAGTTATGGACTGGACTGGGACTTTGGTTTTGGATCTGCATGAATTCTGCAGCAGAACTCAGGCAGCAGAGGGCGCAATAACGAGGCAGCAGAAAAGGAGCATCAACTAAAGGCCTGGTCTGCAGGTGTGTCCACGGACATAAATAGACCACAGACCCATAGGTTTGGCACCAGTTAGGAACCCAACACAACATTACTGCTCAGATCCAGACTCCTCGGTTTATTTTATTAGACCTAAACGTGGATTTCAGCAAACCTCACCTGGCTGAGCCTGCTGGGCCTGGGGCAGAAGGAACGGGGCAGTAGACGGGAGTGAGTGTCCGGGCACCAACACCAACTGTTGTAACTGCAGCAGCTGCTGGATGTCCTGTCAATCAGAGGAGAACGCCTTTAAGTCACTCATCTTTTTGTGGGGGGGGTGGGGGGGGGGGGGGGGGGGGGGGGGGGGGGCAGAAAACACTGCAAGAAGAGGAAGAACTGTGATGACAAAGAAAGTTCAGGTAAGACAGCAACACAGACAGGGTGAGTGTTGGACTGTTCCACTACTGGACCACCAGGGTTCCCGTCTCCGGTCCACTCTGTACCTGGGCTGTGAGCTGGAACGGCTGGGACAGGGTGAGCTGAGGAGGAGGGACTGTTTGTTCCTGGGAGTTCTGTCCTTGTCCCTGGGACTGGGACTGTGGAGCCGTCTGTCCTGCATGCTGCTGCTGCTGCTGCTGATGGGCTTGATGATTGGCTGCTGCTGCCACTGCTGCTGCTGCCACCGCTGCCTGGGCTTTTTGATTGGCCTGTGCTGCTGCGTGGGCAGCGTGGGCAGCGTGGGCTGCACTGGACTGTTGCACTGCTGCAGCCAGGAGCTGGGCCTGAGCCTGCTGCAGCAGCAACTGCTGCTGGGCTGGCAACAGAGTCGTCAACTGGGGGAGAGGAAGAGGAAAGGACGGGGGAGCAAAGGAGCATGCTGCAGGAGAGGAGAGGAGAGGAGACGGGAGGAGAGGAGAAAGAATGCAAAGTAAGCTCTGGAAAAGCGAGGAAGAGGTAAGCAAAGCGATGTGTGTGTGTGTGTGTCTCACCCCGGTCAGCATGAGCTGTGTGGGCTGCAGGGCTGCATGTGAGGGAGTCGGGCCCTGAGAGGGAGGCAGGGAGGGGGACATCTCACCACCCTCATCCATCTTATTCTGTGACAGGAGACAGAAAGAGGTTTTTAAAATTAACATTAACTCTAACATTAACTCTAACATTAACTCTAACAGTAACAGCCTGAACAGAGGTGGGACAAAGCCAACAGAAGAGGAGTGGGCAACAGTTTGGAAACATCAGTGGAAATGTAGCAGTTTAAGACAGAGTTTGGCTTGAAAAGCCTGATAAGATCTTTGATTGGACCTTAGGTCATTAGG